CACACTCACACTCACACTCACACTCACACTCACACTCACACTCACACACACACACACACACACACACACAGTTAGTGTCATGGTTGGAAGTATAAAAATCTGAGGAAGCAATTCAGTGGCTCCTGTTCAAACGGTTTGTTGAGATGGTCAGATGAGGTGACTAGTATTACAGGTGTGGTCTAACTAGGGCATGGTATAACTGTGGCAAAGCTCTTATCCAGTAGTTATAAAGTTTAGCATTGCAGTAGCCTTTTTGATTAGTTTTGTACCTAACTAATATCCTTTATTGATCTCGTGCATGAATTGCTCTATCTCTTTTACCTTCCTCCATTGTTCCTAGCTTGCCACCAATTAAAAATACTTTGTGTCTTTTTTTTTATCCAAAATGGATGAATTTTCTATTGTGTTGATATGACCACATCGCAAAAGGTTGCGGTAGTCTGGCGACAATATGAAATCTAGACACACATCTGAGTGCAGTATGGAGGGAGTGCTGCACAATTTGATTTGCTACTTTTTGAATGAGACCTTAAATTAAGTCTCTCCAGTCATGATGACTAAGAGCTCCGATGGCACTTTTGGAAGAAGGCATTGGGAGTTCTCCTTGACCTTGCAGCCAATACTCAAATCCTGAACAAAGGTGACGACCTGAACGTGATCTGCAGTGCTGATTGTGGGACCTTGCAGTAACAGACCAGAACCAACAACCTTTGTATTTTGTTTCAGCTCTTCCTGATCTTCCTCCATCACTGATGCCAGCTCCACCAAAAAAGTCCAAGGCAGGTGCTGTTAAATTCCAAGGAGATGATAGCGAGGAACAGATGGATCTACAGGATCAACATATCACAGCAGTCTTGTCGAAGATCATTGTAAGTTTTAGTTCAAATACAAGATGTTTTTCTCACGTCCTGGAGCTCATGTTGAAGGTACCTGTGCTTGATTGTGAAAAGGTTGCAGACAGCTTGGATGTCTTACTCTCAGCATTGTTTCATTGCTGCAGGCCATCAGATCTACAATCACAGTATCTTAATAAATATTTGACACCACTCAATAGGTTGGTGATCCCTCCACTGTCATCGGGTGTTGTATGGCTAAGTTGCTAGTACTGTCACCTCTGAAACAGAGGGTTTTGTGTTCAAGTCCCAGTTCAGAGTCTTGACTACAAAAACTAATGTTGCCCTCCAGTGTAGCACTAAAGGAGGTGCAGCTTTTCAACTGCGCTGTTCAACTAAAATGCTGTCCATCCATCTTTTAAGATTCTGTGGCCCTGATTTTGAAGGACAGCAATTCAGTGAAGTGGCCACTATTTCTCATTCAAACTGCTATTGAATAAATTATCTGTTCATTACAACATTGATGTTTTTGGGATCTTGCTGTGTGCTCATGACTGCTGTATTTCTTATGTTAAAACTGATTGAATTCTTGTTGAATTACATTGGCTGCTATACATTTTGGGCAATTCTGAGGTTGTGAAAAGTGTGACTTAAATGCAATCTTTATTTTTGTCAATGTTACGCTGAACAAAGTCTTAATTTTTGGGTCAACTACCTTAGAGCACTTTGAGGCTCTTCACTCTCCCACAGCTTTTCCCATGGAATCAATCAATCCAATTTAGATCTGTCTTGTATGAAATAGGATAATTATAAGGTTTTGCGTATTGAAATTGAATGGCTGAAGGAACTGCTGTATTTGTATTGGATTGTTCAGATCATGGTGACTCCTGTCTCTGTCTCGCATCTCACGGGGTAATTTAGTTTGGGTACGATAGTTCAGATGATTGGATTATTATCATCAATCTAACTTGTGGGAGTTTGTGTCCAAATTGACTGTGGTTTTTATGTGAGGCTATAAATAATACTAGAAAAATACTTAACTGTTTACAAAGTGCTGTGGGAAGTCCTGAAAGCAATCAAAAGCAAAACTTTGTCCTTTATCCTTCATTTTCCTCCTCTCTCCTGGTGGAGCATGGTTCCACATGATCTTGATTCCTCAGTCATCACCACTAAATTTCAGCGTTTTCTCACTGTGTTTCCACAAGATTCACAAAACAAGTTATTTTGTGATACCAGAAGAGGAGATATATTCAGCCACTTGAAGTGTAGGTAAGAAGATCTTGGTGCTATAATCTCTGCAATTCCTGTAAACTACTTCAACTGACAGGCAGATATCTGATCACAAAGCCTTCTATTGAAGGCAATAATTTCTCCTTATTTATCAAAATTCTTCTTCCTTTTCAGCAGTGCTGTTAAATCTCACAGTCACTTCCTCTGTTGTAAGAAGAACAATTTCACTGCTTCTAGTTTTTTCACATAAGGGAAAGTTCACTTTAGAAGGTATTAACAGACTGTAAAGATTTCCACTTTAACAATTTCTTTGTTGTGTATTTTTCTTGCAGGAGAGAGACACAAGAGCATCTCCAATATCCCTTCCTGTATCGACAGGTTTGGCCTTCCCAAAGGTCTTTCATAGGTCGGAGGTACAGAGTGAGGTAATGGTTTGCTTTCACAAATATTGGTTTTCCTCAGCATTATGTGAAAGTAGGGACTTAGAAACTCATGTTTTTCATCTGACATCAGCTGCTAGAAGGATTTAAGATGCATTCCGTTTTTCATGTTGCAAAATGCCATGGGAGCGCAGGAGAGAGTGCAATAAAGATGTACTAGAATGATGCCAGAACTGAGAGATTGTCCCTACCACGATAGAGTAAATTGCATGTGTACATCAAAACATCCATGAATTTTGATAGATGGGTTTAAGATTATAAAAGGGTACAGTGGTCACGGATAAACTTTCTATATGTCAGGCAGGCCAAAACTAAGGGACCAGATTTATACGACTGAGGAGGTAGTGCCGTAATATGATGGACTAGTAATTCAGAGGTGCAGTCTAATACTGTGGAACACCGGTTTAAGTACCATGATAGCAGCTGGTGAAATTTAAATTCAATTAATAAATCTGGAATTGAAAACCTAACGTGAAAGTATCATCGATTGTTGTTAAAACCGCATCCGGTTCATGGATGTCCTTTCAGGAATTCTGTCATCCCTACCTCGATCTGACTTCAGACCCACTGCAATGTGTTTGACTCTAAGCCCCCTTTGAAATATTCTAGCAAGCTACTCAGTTCAAGGATAGTTAGGGATAAGTATCAAATGCTGGCTTTGCCAGTGCCATCCATATTGCAAGACGGAATGAAGGAAAAATAAAAAGAACCCTTCATTTAGGGAGTATAGGTACTCCTCTATCAGAATTCTGATTTTGCTCCTGAGAATTGCCACTTAAGTGAAATGACTTTAAGTGGGTCATGAGTTCCCGTTGGAATCAATATTAAAGCAGGCTTTGCAGAACCTTTCAAACAAAAATTAAAACATTATCTCTTTTAAATTGACATAGCTCACATTGCTACATTTTTACATTTCTAAATTAAATAACTATGAAAAAAAAATTTTAAAATGTAAAAGAAAAGTGTAATGTTCTACTTAAAGTAAAGTTACCTCCTGCTCGCACTTTCACAACCCTGAGCTTCAGTAGGAGATCTTAACCAAATTGAAGCAGAAAACATTTTGTTCATTTCTGGTAATTTTTGTTCAGCTAATATGTCTAACATTAAAAATTAATCCACTGGGCTTTGCCCTCCATGTCAAGAAAATGGCATTATAATGTGTTGAGATCAATTACGCCCCAAATAGTCATTTCCCACCACTGGATCCAATGCCCCCAGCCCCAAACTCCTCTGTCACCCTGCAGGTGGCAGGCTTTGACCGATCCTACCACAGTGTTTCCAAGAGTGATCACTGGATGTGATCAGAGCCCTGCTTCTTCGGCTTCATTTGTATTGTCCATGTCTATGTTTGCTATGCGGCGACTATTACGGCACACACCAATTGAGAAAACTGCATGTGTGAGTTGACCACAGTGCCATGTGCAATTCTGTTGTTCATGGCACATGAAGCCAGCAATGTGTTCCCTGTTCACTCTCAATACGGAAACATGTTGACACAGCTGTTGCTCCTGCCCCTCACTGGCACCACTTATTTCCAGAGTCCTTGGTCACATCAGATCTCTGGTATTGCATCGGCTCAGGGAGAGGCCACAGTCACTGGGGTTAGGCACTGATAGAGGCTGCAAGTCAGGAGATGGGAAGAGGCACAGGGAGGGGCTACAGAAAATGACATTAAAATGAATTTTGCAGTGGCCGTTGAGATTACAGACTCTATTAACTTCACACATGAATGCCACGTAAACAGGGAAATGATAAATTAATTGTAGTTAGAATGTGAAATTTTCTTCTGCACGGAGTATTTGAAGTGAATAGCATAGGAGTGGATAGCATCTCAGCTAGATAAGTACGAGAAGGATAAAAGAATACAAGGCTTTGCTGATAGGGTTTGGTGAACAGAGCTGGGGAATAGGCTTTTGTGGAGCATATACGCTTGCATCTGTCATTTGCATTGAATGACCAGTTTCAGCTATGTTCTTTTGAAATGATAATTTGGGTCCAAATTAACAGTATTTTGAGCAAATGTGTGTTAATTAAGGAAATAAGGAATGGCTTCGTTCAGGGCAAATGAAGTTTAACTAACTTGCATGATATTTCTGATGAGGTATTAGAGAAGGTTGAAGGTAATGGGGTTGATGTGGTGGAGAGGGGTTTCCAAAAGACATTTGATAAAGTGCTGCTCAAGATACCTGTGAGCAATGTTCAATTTTAAAAGAACGGTAGCAGTATGGATACCAAATTGGCCAAATAACAGGGGACAGAGAACAGTAGTGAGCAGTTGTTTTATTGACCTTTGTACTGGAGCTCCCCAGAGATTGGTGCTAGGATCTCTAGTTTCCTTGATATGTATTAATTACCTAGACATTGGTATACAGGGCACTATTTCAAAATTTACTGATAATATGAAACTTAGAAGTGCAGAGACACCAAAATTTCAGCATATTCCACTGAGATGAACAGCATCTGTGTTTAATTGTCATTTTGTCTGAAATCCTTGAGAAGGACACACAGCAGTTAGTCTCACTGGTGGTCAACATGATGAACAAGCTATATGGATGTTCAGTAGCCGACTCGTTTCAGTCTAACTGCCAGCACCTGAAGAACTGCACTTCTGCAGTGCTGCAGGCATGCTGCACCATTGTAATTGAGTCTAGGAGTTGGGAAGGCATGTTGACATTGTACAAGATGCTGGTGAAGCCTCTCCTGGAGTACCGTATCCAGTTCTGGTTGCCTTGTTATAGGAAGGATATTATCAAGCTGGTGAGGATTCAGAAAAGATTTACCAGGATTTTGCCAGGAATGGAAGGTTTGAGTAATGGGGAGAAGTTGGATAGGCTGGGACTTCTTTCAATGGAGCATTGGAGGTTGAGGGGTGACTTTATAGAGGTTTTTAAAATCATGAAGAGTATAGATAAAATGAATGGCAGGTGTCTTTTCCCCAGGATGGGGGATTTCGAGACTAGAGGACATAGTCTTAGGGTGAGAGGAGCAAGATTTAAAAAGGACATGAGGGGCAACTTTCTTTTTAAACACAGAATGGCTCGTGTGTGGAATGAACTTCCAGAGAAAGTGGTGGATACGGGTGCAGTTACAATGTTTAAAAGACATTTGGCTATGTAAATGAATAGGAAATGTTTGGAGGGATATGGGCCAAGCGCAGGAGGTGGGACTAGTTTATATTCAGCATGGACTGGTTGGACCGAAGGGTCTGTTTCCGTGCTGTATGACTCTATTACACTATAAATGCTGTCATTCAGATGAGTAATTAAACTGGACCTCCTTTCTAGCCTGCCAAATGGTTGTTGAAAATCCAACTGCATTATTTTGCAGGCAATATGCAAGTTCTACACAGTGTCCTGACCAGTTCCCATCCCTCAAACAAAATCTTAAAAAAAAACAGATCATCACAATGTTGTGTGTGGGAAAACTTCTGTGTACTGATCAACAGCTGTATTTCCCACCACACTTGAATAAAAAGACTCCAGTGCTTTGGGATGTCTGAATCTTTCTGTTTGGACATGTAACGTAAAAACAATTTGTGTTGCATTTCGCAAACTCACCCTAGTTTTGCAACATGCAGTGAAGGATCAGAGCTCCACAAGGCTCTGGTCAGGCCACATTTGGAGTATTGTGTGCAGTTTTGGGCCCCAAATCTCAGGAAAGATGTACTGGCCCTGGAGCGGATTCAGAGGAGGTTCACGAGAATGGTCCCAGGAATGAAAAGCTTAACATATGAGGAGCGTTTGAGGACTCTGGGTCTATACTCGATGGAGTTTAGAAGGAGGGGGGGGGGGATCTAATTGAAACTTACAGAATACTGAATGGCCTGGACTGAGTGGATGTTTGGAAGATGTTTCCATTGGTAGGAGAGACCAGGACCCAAGGGCACATCCTTAGAGTGAAGGGAAGATCTTTTAGAATGGAGATAAGGAGAAACTTCTTTAGCCAGAGAGTGGTGAATCTATGGAATTCACTGCCACAGAAGGCTGTGGAGGCCAGGTCATTGAGTATATTTAAAATGGCGATAGATAGGTTCTTGATCAGGGAGATCAAGGGTTACAGAGGGAATGGGTTAAGAAACTTATCAGCCATGATTGACTGGTGGAACAGACTCAATGGACTGAACGGCATGATTTCTGCTCCTATGTCTTATGGTCTTGTAGTTGTCGCTTGCATCTCTTGTGTCAGTATTTGGAATCTGTTAGTTAGGAAGGGAAAATCAACATAACTTGAGATTGTGACTCCTGGTGTCACTGGGTATGGGTCCTAACAAGCAAAAGTCACATTCAGGATTGATATACCAAAGTACTTGCTCAGGCTCACAGTTGTACAGGAATGGGATCCCAGGTAGAAATGTGGATTTGAAACCCTGGAATCATTTAAGAGCTAATTGGAATTTAAGATCAATCTAAAGGATTGAATCAGATAAATCCAAGGCCTTTCTCACTTGTAATTATCCTGCAACCTCATGAGTTGTCTGTTTTGCATGAGTACTTGACGTGCTTGTTATGTATTTTTGTTTTGTAACAGGTGAAGCTGGTTTCAGGAAAGAAAAGTATCTTTGCGCAGAAACTTGCTGCAAAGAAGGCAGCTGAGGCGACTCGGGCAGTGCCTTCTTTCAGTGGGTTCAGACCCCGGACTGGGGTCACACAGGAGCAAAGGTCACCTCCACCTCGAGTTACAGAGGTATCGGAAAAGGAGCAATCAACAGGTGAATTTATGCAAAAAGCTTTTATTATTGTAGAAGTGTTGAGGAATTAAGTAGGAATAGCAGGAGGGCCTGGGCCATTCCTGGGTCTGAATCCTCTCACGGCGATGGCAGGGGTGCTTGGACTGCTCCTGAGATTGAATCCTTTGACAACTACAGTGGGGTAGTCTGCTCTGTGAAAGGCCTGTACTCTTAGACTGGGCAATTTACCAATATGACTGCTTCCGGAATATGATTATCTGAATTAACAAGAACAGAGTGAGAGAGCTATATCCCTCATTGATTAATATGGGGCCAGTTTTAAATTGGAAGTGTGCGGATTCACCTGATGAGCATTTCCCTTAAGTCAAGGTACAGATCGGCCATGATCTCTTGGAATGACAGAACAGACATGAAGGGCTGAAAGGCCTATTCCTGTAATCAATTGTGAAGTGTTTTAGAGCCTAATTGACAGTCATACGGATTATGACTTTTCATCTTCAACTAACTTGTCGCATTTTCCCACAGATGGTGGATCTGGAGGGAGACTGGGTGGGGAATTAAGCCCTCAAGAATCTCAAAGGATTCATGAGGAGAATGTAGCCAGACTGCAGGCCATGTCTAAAGAAGAGATTGAGGAGGAACGCAATAATTTGCTGGCTCGGTTAGGTGAGTAATTGTATCACTGCTGTGCATTAAACTGCTAAACCTGGCTTTCTTCATTCCAATTTCTTCCTTCAGCTTTCCCCTCTCCCCCTCAAGGCACGGAATTGATAGGTGCTATCAGTCCCACAATGTCACTGTTTTAGTATTCCCCTGTGAAGGACATCACATTCCCTACTATCTGGTGTGGATCACTAAATGACAGTCAAAAGCAGGACATCTTTTGCTCCTGCCTTTATCTTATGACTTCCCTTGGCAAAATGCTGAGGCCAAACTGCCTGCTGCTGCGACTCTCAAACTAAATTTAGTGAATTCTGGCTAATAGTTGTGCCTGAGCCAATTGTCTAGTCATTATCTCATTGTTGTTTTGGAGCTTGCTTTGCACCTACTGTCTGTTGTGTTTCCTAAATTACAACAGTGATTATACGTCAAATGCACTTAATTGGCTATAAAATGCTTTGAGATGTCCTGAGGTAATGAAAAGCTTTACATAAATATAAGTCAATCTTTCCCTGTATTGGCCTAAATTTAGTTGTGTTCTACTACTACCGTGTCTGAGATTAACTAACTAAGCACGGAAGGAATCAAACATAGGGCTTTTTGATATATAAAAAGCTACAATTGTAGTGATACCTTATCATGTATGAAAGGCATTGAACAATGATTTCTATAGTCCTGTGACCACTATGTATTAGTAAGGTCTACTGCATGAATACTGTTGCCACAGGAGCAGGTCAGAGGATGGGAATTTAGTGATGTGGAACTCACCTCCTGACTCCTTAAATCCTCTTCCCCATCTACAGGCTGAAGTCAGGAGTGTGATGGACACTCCCTACGTGCCTGGATGAGTGCAGCTTCAAATGCATATGAGAAGCTTGCCAGCCATCCTAGACAAAACAGCCCACTTGATCGCTTCATTCACCAACTTTAACAGTTGCTGCCTTCACCACTGGCATACAGTGGCAGCAGTGTGTATCATCTGCAAGATGCTCTGTAACAACTCACCAAGACTCCTAAACCTATACCGCCAAGAAGAATAAGGGCAACAGACACATGGGAACAGCCACTACATGCAGGTTCCTCTCCAAGCCACTCACCATCCTGACATGGAACTATAATGTTGTTCCTTCCCTGTTGCTGGATCAAAATCCTGAAACTCTCTCTGCAGCAGCAGTGTGGATGTCCTTGCTGCTGTGGTTCAACAAGATGGCCTTTGCCAGGGATACAGTATTATGGATACATTATTGGAAGGATGTGATAGCACTGGAGAGGGTGCAGACGACATTCACCAGGATTTTGCCTGAACTGGAAAGATTCAGTTATGAAGAGAGATTGGACAGACTGGGGTTGTTTTCCTTGAAGCAGAGGAAATTGAGAGGGGACATGATTGAGATGTATAAACTAAAGAGGCACAGATAGTCTCACCTGCTGCAGAGGTGGGTAATAACAACTCTGAACAGATTAATTCAAAATAAATAAAAACAGATATTGCTGGAAAAGGTCAGCAGGTGTGGCAGCATTTGCGGAGAGAAAGCACAGTGAATGTTTTTCCAGTGACCCTTCTTTAGAACTGATTGTAGCTAGGAAAAGGTTGCTATATATTGCTGAAGTAAGGGTTGGGGGTAGCAGGGAGGAGATGAAGCCGAGAGAGAGAGAGAGTAAACAGTTGTGCAGACATTGGAATGTCTAAAGGTCAGACTGGGAAAATGAATAGCAAGCAGATGGGGGAACCTTTAGTTGCTGTCAATGGGTTGTTGCCTGTTGTGTGGGGTTTTGGGTAAGGACATGGGAGAAAATACTCAAGCTCTAAAACTATTGAACTCTATATTGGGTTCAAAAGGCTGCAGGGTTCCCATGTCACTAGTTAACCCTTTAAGGGACCTGCATTTCTAACACTGACGACATTAATGTTACTTGTTTATCGACTGGCATTACATGTGGCGGTGATTGTTCTTCTGTCATTACATTTTAAAAGCTATGTTTCATTAGTTGACATATTGGTGAGATTTATTAATTGATTATTGTAATGTTGAAGCTATACATTGGACATCAGATTCCATGATGAGACTATTTATTCACTGGGCATATCACATGGGTGTGATTTGTTCAATGATGGCCAATGCATATTGCGAGTCATTGAGCATGACGTTTTGATGCAATTCATGAGTGGGAATTGAATTTGAATGTTATTTATTCATTCAACATTACATGCTGTTATTTGCTCATTGCAGTGTTGTTTGCTGGTGTTTAGATGCTGGTCATTATTTCTTGTGTATTGGACATGGCCATCTGTGGGTTGTTCATTGGGCTTTACACAGTATTTCAGCTTTAACTCTTGACACAGTTCATTTGCTGAGAATGCATGGCAGTTTCTGAGTGTGACTGCTAAAGCACCCACTTACTGACATTGTGTTAGAATAAAAAGACCAGAAAACTACCATAAATTGTTTCATTACAAAAGCAAACAAGTGACTTGTTCTTCCTCCTGCAGACATATGGTTAACTTTGATTTATCCCTCCACTTCCTGTTCAACTAGATCCAAGTTTGGTTGCTTTTCTAAAATCAAGAAAGTCCGAGGTGAGTTGCAGTGAAGGTGCCAAAGATAAAATGGAATCACGTAAAACAGAGAAGACCCATGAAGAGGAGCAGATACATTCGTGTTTAACGAGACAATCTGAGGCCAGTCCAGCTGAGGAAGAACCAATGGATCAGAAGCCAACAGGTAAAAAGCTCAGCAGGCAAGATTCAATAATGGTGTTCAAAAACTTGAAGAGTTTTGATAAATAAGGCCTAAGTGTTTCTATTAGCAGAAGGGTCAATAAGCAGAGGGGGCAGATTTAAAACAATTGACAAAAGAGCCAAGGGGGAAATGTGAATATTTTTAATGCAGAAAATTATTATTGGAAAAAGTACTGACTGAAAGAGCAGTGGAAGCAGATTCAGTCGTAATTTTCAGGAGGGAGTTGACTTGAAGTACTTTAAAGGGGCAGCATTTCAAAGAGCAGGGAAGTGGAAATAATTGGATAATTTTTTCAGAGTCAGAATAGGCATAATTGGCCAGATCTCCTGCACTGAGCACTCTGATGTTATGACATCAATTAGAATGAATGCATGAATGAATTAGAATGAAACTCCTCCAGCCTGATGACCTTGCCACTCCAAACGAACTTTCTCTTTCTTTATCTTTGCCCTTCCACTCTTGACTAACTCATTGGTAACTGTACCTTCAGTGCCTGAAGGTAGTTGTACTGACTGGATAACCTGGCTCCCTGCCCATATTCCCAACTGACTTGAGGGTGTCTCCGCTCCCCTGTCCCAAGCTGAGGGTGTGCCCACTCTCTCCCCTCCAAAGCGGAGCTGACAGTGTCCCTCAGAATGCAACATTTAAAGACTGAGAGTTAGAGTGATTTAGGAGTAATGGAACTGGATGGAAAGGTGCTGTAATGTTGCTGAGTCGCAGGACAAAATTTGAACTTGGCTTGAAACTCTTTCACTTATGCGGAGTTAAAATTAGACACAACATATATACCACAGAGGCAGGCAAAATGAACTCAGCTGATAGCAATATATCAACAGCCACCCCCGTGGTCAAATCACAGTCTTAGTTGGAAACGCCCTTCCAACTGTACAGACAGGAATGAACCAACACCACATAAAATAATATGAAGAATAAGAAACAATGCAGTAAGTCTGTTACTTCTTTCGTGGAGTAGAATTTCACATTCTCAACATGTCACTCAATTATATCTCTCTGGAAATGTTCCTGTTCCAGTTTTCACATTTGGCCATTTGTGATCAGTTAAGATTTTTTTGCCCGTTTATTCATTCATACAATGTGAGAAACACTGGCTGGGCCAGCGTTGATACCCATTACTAATTGCCCTTGGGAGGATGGGGGTGAGCTGCTGCATTGAATTACTGCCCTCTATTGTGCAGGTACACGTTCAGGAGTGAGTTTGTGGACTTTGACATTGCTATAAGCGAAGACAAGTTGATACAATTCCACCTCAGGAGGGTGAGTAGCTTGGAGTGGAGCTTGCAGGTGGTGATGTTCCCATGTATTTGCTGCCTGTGTCCTTCTAGATGTTAGAGGTCACAGGTTTGGAAGGTGCTGTTGAAGGAGCCTTGATGAGTTGCTGCAGTGCAGTTTGTCCATGATGCATATAGACACTCCTGTGTGCTTGTGGTGGGGACATGAATATTTAAGGTGGTGGATGGCATGGATTAATAGGCTGTTTTCTTTTCCCAGATGCTGTTGGAGCTGCATTCATCCAGACAGCTGGCTAGTGTTCCTTCTGCGTGTGCTCCAATGCCTTTAACTGAGAGCTTTTACCCTATTTTTATGTATTTTAGAATAGTTCCTTGTGACAACATGCTGTACTCCTAATTTTCAACATCTCTCTAAAGTGCCCAGAAGCTAATAGCCCAACACTAACAAAGATCTGCAAATGGTACAAGTAATTCTGGGAGCTTTCACCACAGATAGAAAGGGAAAGTGCAAGACTAAAGCACACTCGAAATTCTGGCAGTGTAGTGAGTCCATAACTATTTGTAAAGAGTATTCTCACTGTTTATGGGAACTGATAACCATGAAATGGTCTAGGCCTCAAATATTACCCATCTTTTCTCATTTTGCAACATTTTTTTATTATGTAATCCCTTTCAAGTGTTTTTCCTCCGTATCCAAAAGTTTGTCTGTCTGAAGTTGCATGGAGTGCTGTTTAGCCTTGAGGACTTCCAGTCTGGCAGTGCCTTGTTTTTAGAACTCTGCTCCTCATTTGCATCTTTTCTATGGCCTCACTCCTCTTTTACTCCCTAATCTCTTTGAGTCTTGCAGCCCTCTGCGTTTCTGCATCCATCTGGGCTATTACGCATTTCCTTTCGTTTTGCTGTATCATTAGAAGCCATGCCTTCAGCCGCTTTGGGCTTAATCTATGGAATTCCCTCCCTAAAGCTTTCTGCATGTCCACATCTCTTTTCTCCTTCAAACTATTCTATCTATGAACAAGGATTTGTTCACTTCTATTAATATCTCCTCATGAGACTCTGCCATGTTTTGTCTGATATGGCTTCTGCACAATGTCTAGAGACGTTTTTACCATTTTAAAGATGCTCTCTAAAGGTAGGATTTTGCCTTGAGTATTGGTAATATTCCTCATGGAATCCTACCACTAGTGTTTGATTAAGACATGGCAGAATGTCCAATCTCAGCTGCTCATTCAAACTGTAGAGGTGCTATTATAGTTTCCCCAGGTAAACGTTTGCTCATTACCTGCCAGATTTTGGTGTTCAGATTAGTAGTTAAACATTAGCTATAGTGTTGTAACTGTGCCAAGCCAGTTTGTCCCTAGAGATGGTACTGTGAGGTTGAGACACTGGGTATTAATTGGGCCATTCTTGCTAAAATCAGTTAGGATGAAGGATGTTGCTGAGGGTATCACATAGTGAATAATAGTGCTACAGAAAATCCTGACCCTTGGGAATCCAGCCAGTGAGCCTGCAGTCCTGTTCCTGATATTGTAATGTAACCAATGCTCAAATTACTCTTTGTTTTTGGAGGCTTTTTTTTTGAGGTATTAACATAGGTTGTAGTTGAGCTCAGTTATACGGTTCTCAAATTCTACATTATAATTCTATGTTCTTTGACGTTTCAGTGGACATCTGTACTTCCCATGGTGGGACTGACACATAAAAACCAATAAGGTCCCAAATTGATCTCTGCTGATCTTTCTCAGGGTAGCTCGTAAGAGTGCTACAATTGACTCCAATGCCCACATGAATGGAAAAGAGCAATACTAGCAACAACCTTATTATAGTAAAATATCCCTGGGTGCATAACAAATGTGTCATCAAACAAAATTTGATACCAAGCCACATTATGATACACTTTTGGTCACCTGCCCCAATTGTGTCAAAGATGATTTCAGGGGCTATTTTAAAAGGGAGAGGCAGAGAGGTTTGGTTGCTGGGAGCCTTCAACTCATTTAAAAGGACACTGGCTCTGCACCTAAAGCACTGTAACCTTCAAGACCACAGACCAGATGCTGGAAAGTGAGATTAGAATGGGTGGCTAGTTTATTCAGCCACCACACAAACAAATGTAACATTTCCGAAGTTTGGAGAGAAAGTTTCCAAATTTGGGGGCTAGGCAACGGAGGACACATTTATTTAAAATGGGGTCACTTAAGAATGCTAAAATTCGAGGAGTGTGGGTATCTCAGATGTTTGTGGGGCTGGAGGAGGTTACAGAGATAGAGAGGGACAAAGCTGTGGAGGAATTTGTAAACGACGGTGGAAATGTTAAAGTTGAAGAGGCGTTGTCAGGCAAGGAGTCAGTGTAGGGCACTAAAGCACAGAGTGGGAGTTAGCATACAGGCAGCAGAGCTTTGGATGATTGTGGGCTTTATGGAGAGTAGGAGATGGCGATCGTGAATCTTTTGGATTAATTAAGTCCAGAGGTAACTAAGCCATGAATGAGGGTTTCACCAGCAACTGAGCTGAGACAGGACAATATTATAGAAGTGGAAATACATGATCTTAGTGTGGAAATGGTGGTCAGAAGCTCTCCTTGGAGTCAGATGTGACACCAAGATCAAGATCAGTCTGTTTGGCCTAACTGCCAGGAAGAATTATAGGGTGGCTCAGGAATGTGGTTTGCACTAAGGACTGAAGACAGAGGCTTTGGCATTCCCCATTTAACAGGATGCAATTGCTGCTTCTCCTTCTGGAAAGATGTCAGAGAAATAGTGTGTTAAATCGGAGTCAATGGATGGATGAAGGGAGGTGGTGATGAAATAGATTTGGGTGTTGCCAGCATACATATGGAAAATTATGCTGTATTTTTGGAGGCAGGGTGTGCTGAGTAGGAACAGGAAGAGAAGTCATTGCAGATGATTCTGTGACTGCAATGAGATAAGCACGGAACCAGGTGAGTGCAATCCCACCCAGCAGGGTCAGGGTGGGGGTTGGCGGGGGCGGGTAGCAGGTGGTGATGTTGGTGAGGAAGAATTGGAATTTGGATGTCACTGATGTTATCCAGTGTCAAATACTGCAGACAGATTGAGAAGGATGATGAAGGACACTTCACACTATCAGATGCATGTAGGATGTAATGATGGGCATCAGTTTGGGGGACAGAATGATGGGGGAAGAGGGGCTGAGGGAAGCTGGTTGGGGGGAATGGGGGGGGAGGGGGGGAAAGGGGACAGAGGTGTGTGGCATGGTTGGATTGAAAAAACCAACATGAGAATTTTAAAATTGATGTGTTATCTGGCTCAGCAGCCAATGTAGGTCAATGATCACAGGGATGATAGCTAAATGGGGCTTAATTGCTGGTCAGGATATGGAAGTAGAGTTTTGGACAAACTCAAGTTTACAGAAGGAGTGCAGCAGTCACAATTTGTGAGCAGTTGTGAGATGATAAATTTTACAGTTGAATGAATCCCTGTGACCAGAAGAGACTGAATTGATGGATTGCTGTCTCTCTAATTTGTGAAGCTGGTGTGAGTTCTATGAAATGGCCAGTGTCCGCAGGCATTGCTGGTGCCAGAATGAATGAAAGACCAATGGTGGACAGTGCTGCATCTTTGATGGATGACAGCACCTACCTTTGCCTCTGAGAACCTACATTGTGTGAGGAGAAGGTTGAGGCCTCTGAAGAGAAAAATTCACAAAAGTACGGGACAGAGAACAAAGTAAGAGATTGCACTATTTTGGAGGTGT